CCTTATATAATCCCTATGCCATAGTGGTGGTCTTGGTACTCTACCAGTTCTTCTAGTATCTTCAACTGGTGCTGCAATATCAATGTCTCCAACTCCTGGAGGAAAATCTTTCTCAATATCAGACTCTACTGGTGCAGTAGTTGTATCAGGCATTTGATCAACTGGACCACCTTCCTCTACAGATGATGACTCAGTAGCTTCAGCAAGGTCTGGAATAATGAGACTACCAGGCATTGCTTGTCTGGCAGGACAGACCTCAACTTCAGTTGTACTTATAATATCTTGATCATGTTAGATAGGCAATGCAGTATCAGATGAAACACCAATGTTGTCCTTGAAAGGAAAAATATGCTCCATGAAGGTCACATCTCTGCTAATAAACACTTGATGAATTTCCAGGTCCAATAGTCTATATCCTTTATGAGTTTCTGAATACCATATGAGGGATGCCTTCTTGGCTCTAGGAGCAAATTTATCCATTTTAGGAAGAATTGAAGCAAAACACAAGCATCCAAATGCCCTTAAATAATTCAGAACAGGTTCTTCCCCATATAACATCTCATGTGGGGACTTCCCTTTCAACACTCCAGTAGGAATTTTGTTTATCAAATAAACAGTTGTTTTAACATAATGTCCCCAATATCTAATAGGCATTCCACTATGACATCTCAAAGCCCTTGCAGTATTCATTATGTGTTTGTGCTTCCTTTCTACTACCCCATTTTGTTGTGGGGTGTAAGCACATGAACTTTGGTGCACAATACCAAGAGAGGACAAGAGATTACTACATTTGATATTAAAAAAATTTGTACCATTATCTAATCTAAGAGTCTGTACTTTGACACCAAATTGTGTATTGACCATTATCAAGAAGTCCTTCAAAATGATGTGAACTTCAGTTTTACATTGTATGAGACAAACCCAAGTAAATCTACTAAAATAATCAACAATTGTAACAAAATATTGTTTTTTGTCATAGGTGGGGGTTCTGTAAGGTCCCCAGACATCTACATGCATAAGCTAAAAACACTTAGTTGATTTGCTATGACTTTCAGGAAAAACTGATATACATTGCTTAGCTAAGGGACAAGTTTGACAACTATTATGTCTCCTAACATCTGTATGATCCTTGAGGGATAAAATGTGTTGCATAGCCTTGAGTGAAGGGTGTTCAAGTATGATGTGCCACAAATCAGTGTGATTATCAGGTTTTATTGTTGCACCAATTACTGCAAGTACTTCATCTTTTAACAGATATAAACCATTGTGTTCTCTACCAATCCCAATCACCTTGCCACTATAAAGATCCTGCAATGTACAAAAATTAGGGAAGAAACTAATGCTGCAAGATAGGTCCTTAGTAAGTCTTATAACTGAGAGTAAATTGAACTTGAATTCTGGCACATATAGAACATTTGTCAAGTTCATGTCGCCTAGAATAGTTGAGTTCCCAGTGTTCATTATTCCTGCCTTTTTCCCTGTAGGTAACTTTACTGTGTTGGACCCCTCCAATCCTTTTAAATTATGTAATATGTTTTTGCATGATGTGACATGGTGTGTTGCCCTTGAGTCAATAATCTATTCAAATGCGGAGGATTTTGGTAGAAGTAACATATTACCTGCTAGGTTGGCTTTGTACTCATGTTGCTCTTTGTTATGCACCAGATTCCTGAACTGATCTAACTCCTTATTGTTGAGCTTAGTGTGATCCTGAATTGGTCTGTCAGTTGTTGCATTATTATCATAAGGTGATTTGGAGTGCTTGAATTGGAACTGCCCATACCAGTCTGATAGGAACCTTGTTGTGTGGATCTGGAATTGCCCATTCCAGTTTGATAAGGACCTGGTGTTCCAGTTTGATAAGGACCTGATTGTGCAGGTTTTCTCTTGCTCTTGAAGTCTAATGGATATCCAACCAACCTATAACAATCAGCAGTGAGATGGTTCTTAAATCCACATATTTCACATGCAGTCGCTAATAGTGGTTTCTTTCCTTTGTAGTGTTGCCCTTTTCCAGCTAACAGTGTGAGTGGTTCTTTGTTGGATTCTACCACCCCTAGTACATGTTGACTCTCCTCTTGCACTACAATGAAATAGGCTTGGTTTACATTAGGTGTTTCTGTTTTCAGAAGAATATCACTCCTCACATGACTGAATGTCTCATCACAAGTGTTACCAAGTCATCACCACCACCATCCGATCTGTGCCGATACTTTTTAATAGCAGGGATAAAAAACGCAACCGACAATTGTGATGGAAAATTTGTGATTGGATATGGTAATGTTTATAAAGGGTACCTTGACAATGGTACAACCACAGTTGCAATGAAGAGATCGAATCCTTCATCAAAGCAAGGGATTCGCGAGTTCCAAACAAAGATTGAGATGTTATCATCAAAACTAAGGTATCGACATCTAGTGTCCTTAATTGGTTATTGTGATGATAAGAATGAGATGATCTTGGTTTATGATTACCTGGCTAATGGAACCCTTCGTGATTTTCTTCTCATTAAGATTTATTTTTCCTTAAAGAAAAGACAAAACATTACCATAAATGTTTTTACTTTTCTTGAAAGGAAAATATAATATTCTTTCATAGTTGGTTTATTCTCTCCCTTTAGGACTCTTTTTCTAGTAAGAAAAAGTTTTAGGACTCTATAAATATAGGTTTGTTTCTTCTAACACAAAAAAAAAACAATAATAATATCCACGATGTAGTCGTTTAAGAGTCTTGTTTATGGGGAGATTTATTCTCTCTAAAGTTTCAATGTTGTTCTTTATATTAGTTTTGATATAATAATATTTTGATTTTTTAGTATAAGTTTTTGTTATCTGAATTATCAACTATATAATTTGCAAATTGTAAGCTTCCGCATGACGCCCTAATCACCCTTCATAACCCAACAAATAATGCTCCTCTTCGATGGAAGAAACGCCTTGACATTTGCATTGGTGCAGCTAATAAATTAGTACTAACAAACATATCATTATTGGGTCAGAATAGGTCAAAGACAATTTGCAGAACATGACTCAACCTCCCAAATTGGATTTTGTTTGTTCGAATTGCATTTTTACATGTTTTGATTCAATAGTTTGATGGGTCATTTCGGGTTTTATGTCAAGCCAACAACCAATTTACAATCCAATTTGCTTAATTTTGAGTAAATTACTTAAAAAGATAAGTTAGATTTTGTTGCTATAGGTACCAAACATACGATCATTCACCGTGATGTCAAGTCAACTAACATCCTATTGGATGATAAATGGGTTGCCAAGGTGTCTGATTTTGGGTTGTCCAAAGTAGGTGGGACAGATACTACCCATGTTAGCACTGCAGCGAAAGGAAATTTTGGGTACGTAGATCCTGAATACTACAAGCGCCAATGATTGACAGTAAAATCAGATGTTTATTCTTTTGGGGTGGTTCTGTTTGAAGCGTTATGTGGTAGGCCGGCAATAAATCCAAACTTGCCAAGTGGGCAAGTGAATTTGGCTGAGTGGGCTTGTAGGAGTTGTGAAAAAAGAAATGTTGAAGAAATCATTGATCCTAACTTGAAAGGACAAATAGCCTCAGAATGTTTAAGCAAGTTTGTAGAATTGGCATATCATTGTTTGAGCGAACAAGGGGTCGAAAGGCCATCGATGGGTGATGTTGTAAGAAGTTTAGAATTTGCATTACAGCTCCAAGAGGGTGCAGATAATGGGTGCAAATACCCTTCTTTTCCCTTCAATTCGTGGTGATGCTAATATAGCGACGTCGAATGAAGATCATGAGATTTTCTCAGATTTAAGTGAAGTTGAAAGCAAATCGATCAGTGGGAGTGCCAAATTGAAGAATGTCACCATTTTCTCTGAGCTCATGAATCCAGTCGGTCGATGAGGCTTTTCAGCTTTAGGTTATCAAGTTAAAGATCCAAATAACAAGTTTCTGTTCTTTTCTTTTTCTTTTTGTATTTTCCTGGGTAAATATATGGTTACCACTTTTACTGCAATAATTTTCACCTTTAATTTCTTGCCATTAATTCTTTGACGATCAGATCAACTCTTGCATCACTGATTTTTCAGTCCTTCGAAATCAGTTAACTATTTAATTAATTGAGGTGCGTAGTTGAATAAATACTACTCCCTCTCATCATGCCAATTTATGTGACGATTTTTGAAATTTGAGATTCAAAGTCTGAGTATTTCTTTAATTGTAATTTTTTCATATATTTTATAAATATTTTAAATTATCAAATATTATGATCCTTTATAATATTTTTTTCAAGTAGTTTCTTAATATGAAAATTTTATTTCAAAAATCAAATATTTCTTAGTAAAAAACGTGTGCACATACTTCAATATTGTGATGGTTTAAATTTAACTTTAATTATAAGGTTATTATAGTCAAAATACATAATTTTTTAAGGGATCTATAAACTAAAAAATTTGACAAGTATAGTGCTCCCAACTCCTAAGAGGTAGCCTTTTGCTCCTCATTTTCCGCTAATGTTGAAAAATCTTTGGTCAATTTAACAATGAATCATCCAAATTCCAAAGAAAATGGCCCAAAACTTTTCCATTCAAGTATGTCTCTATATGGGGTATTGTTCGTGTGGAATTATTGAGCGGAACATAACAAAGATAATGAAAATGAAAGGCAGCATCCATGGCCTACAAGAAAAAGATATACACCCCCAATTAACAAGTTTTCCTCTACCATTTATATTTCTTTGTGTATTTTCTTGGGTACATATATGGTCCCCTTCGTTAGTGCAATAATCCTAATAGTAAATTCACTTATATTCTTCGATGAAGTCAACTCTTGCCTCACTGATTTTTATTTATTTGGTGCACTTATAATAAGTTATTTCCGTATTTATTTATTTTTTTTGTACAAAACTCGAACAAAATGATGTTAGTTTTTAATACAGAAAATTAGAAATGACTTGATCGTCGAACAACTACTATATAAATATCTGCACAACAAATAGCACGTATATAGTTTTTCAAGACAACGCCATGTTAGCCATTGCTCTAATTTCCTTTCTCTTCTCACGACTCATAACGGCCACTATTTCTACCACGCCGCCACTGTATAACGCCACTGTCTTTGTCTTGCTTAACTGTGGCGCACAATCAGCCACCACCGATGAAACTGACCGTCGATGGGATACTGATATTCACTTTCCAAATTTCTTACCTCCCAACTTTTCAAGTATATCCACAACAGCCACAGCTTCTGAACAAGATCCTTCGGTCAATAGAGTTCCTTATACGACTGGTGCTCGTATTATGAGATCTCAATTCACCTACACTTTCCGTGTTACCCCTGGCACAATATTCCTCCGTCTCTATTTCTACCCTGCCAATTACTCCGGCTTCAACAAAGATGAATCTTTTTTCTCCGTCACAGCTAATCATTTAACCCTCTTGAGTAACTTCAGTGCTTTCCTCACAGTCTCCGCAAGTAGTAGTAAACAAGTTCAAAAAGAATATGTCATCAATGTTGATGAAACTCAGATACTCAAATTAACCTTTTCTCCTTCACCAAACTCTTATGCTTTTGTTAATGGGATTGAGATACTTTCTATGCCAACTGATCTTTACATCCATGGAGACGTAACATTGTCTGGGCATACTAATCCATATAACATCAATAACAGCACTGCTCTTGAAACTTTGTACAGGCTGAACGTGGGAGGCAATTTAGTTGGTAGCACAGAGGATACAGGGATGTATCGTGTATGGGATTCAGATGATGCATTTGTTGTTGGATATGGCTATCAAACTCCTCATTTTGATGTCAACATCACTTACACTTCTGAAACCCCGACTTATTCTGCGCCAACCATAGTTTACACAACCTCTAGGATTATGGCCAATTACAGCCCGGGACTGGATTGGGAATTTCCTCTAAACTCTGGCTTCTATTATCTTTTCAGGCTCCATTTTTGTGAGATTCAGCCGGAAGTTCAAAAAATAAACGATAGAAGTTTTTCCATTTCTATCGGAAACCAAAAAGCCGAGCGAGAGGCTGATGTAATACAATGGAGTGGAGGCTGGAGAATCCCTGTGTACAAAGACTATGTGGTTCATGTTAGAAAGCAAGATGGTGAGCAAAACGTGACGCTTGATTTGAGTCCTAACCCATATTCTGCGCATCAAAATGCTATCTTAAATGGCTTAGAAATTTTCAAGTTGAACGACTCAAATGGAAACCTCTCCGTGCCGAATCCTGAATTGTTCGCTGCTGAACCTAGGATTATTAACTCACCACCAAACAAGAAGAAGAAGAAAAGAATATCATGGCATATCATTCTTGCTGTCATCGTAGGTGTGACTAGCGGTATTGCTGTTTTCTTAATTTCCCGACGACGAAATGGGGGAAGAGATTCTGGTACAAGTGTTCCCAAGTCATCAGCCTCATCATCACTACCATCCGATCTGTGCCGACACTTTTTACTAGAAGAGATAAAAATCGCAACGTGCAATTTTGATGAAAATTTTCTGATTGGTTATGGAGGTTTCGGTAATGTGTACAAAGGGTACATAGACAACGGTGAAACCATAGTTGCAGTCAAGAGATTGAATCCTTCATCAAAGCAAGGAGTCCGTGAGTTCGAAACAGAGATTCACATGTTGTCAAAGCTAAGGCATGTGCATCTGGTGTCCTTAATTGGTTATTGTGATGATAACAATGAAATGATATTGGTTTATGATTACATGGCCCATGGAACTCTTCGTGATCACTTGTACAGTACTGATAATGCTCCCCTTCCATGGAAGAAACGTGTTGAGATTTGCATTGGCGCAGCAAAAGGATTGTATTATCTCCATACAGGTATTCAGTTAATTAATTATATACGCTGTAAATTCGTATATTTTTATGCGAGTGCTTAGCCAGTAAAATTTAATTTCACAGGTACAAAGCATACCATTATTCATCGTGATGTGAAGTCAACCAACATTTTATTGGATGATAAATGGGTTGCTAAGGTTTCAGATTTTGGATTATCCAAAATCTGTCCATTTGGTGGGTCAGGAAATACCCATGTTACGACTGCTGTGAAAGGAAGCTTTGGGTATGTAGATCCTGAATACTATAAGCGACAACAATTAACGGAGAAATCTGATGTGTATTCTTTTGGGGTGGTGTTATTCGAAGTGTTGTGTGGTAGGCCAGCATTAATTCCTAGCATGCCTCAAGGGCAAGTGAATTTGGCTTATTGGGCTTGTAGGTATTGTAAAAAAGGAAATGTTGAACAAATAATTGATCCAAATTTGGAAGGTCAAATTGCGCCAGAGTGCTTAAACAAGTTTGCAGAAGCAGCATATAATTGCTTGAGGGATGAAGGGGTCCGAAGGCCATCAATGGGTGATGTTGTCTGGAATTTAGAATTTGTATTAAAGCTTCAAGATGCAGCTGATAATAGAGGTCATGAGTACATAGGCCCTTCTTTTCCATTGATTATTAATGGTGATGCTACGAATGAAGATGAAATTTCCTCAGATTTAACTGAAGTTGAAAGAAAATTGACAAGCCATGGTATATCCATGTCGGTCAGTAGGAGTGCCAAATTGAACAACGTTGCCATTTTCTCTGATATTGTCAATCCATTGGCTAGATAAAATGTACTAGGCTTTTCAGGTTTAGGTGTTCAAGTTAAGGTACAACTCAAAATGTAAGGTACATCCACCTTTAAGATCTATCCTTAGCTCTTTAAGATATATATATATATTATATGTTCTTAATTGTTCTAATTTTGTAAAATACAAATATGTAATAAATGTATCTCACATCATGCTTATTTATATATTTAATATTTAGAAGAGTGAAGAGCAATGACGACCAAGGGTAAATCCATAAATGAGCAAAATGTACAGCTTAAACTGAAATTCCACAAAAATCACCCAAATTCTAGCATATTCTTAAGGCCATGTGGCCATCCACACATTGGAAGAGTAAAACAAAACACACGGACTTTTATAAATGTAGGGCCCATTATTGTGTTCAAAGTTATCACAGTAGTTTTCTTACCTTTTTTACTTTACTTTATTACTACATACATATTATATTATTTTATATATATCTAACATGAAGCTGCTCTTCGTCCTCATCCTCAAAGGGTAGATTTGTCTTTTCCTTTCTCTGATGAAAAATTTGTGATTGGATATGGAGGTTTTGGTAATGTTTATAAAGGGTTCCTCGACAATGGTACAATCACAGTTGCAGTCAAGAGATCAAATCCTTCATCAAATCAAGGGGTTTGCGAGTTCCAAACAGAGATTAAGATGTTATCATCAAAGCTTAAGGCATCAACATCTAGTGTCCTTAATTGGTTATTGTGATGATGAGAATGAGTTGATCTTGGTTTATGATTACATGGCTAATGGAACCCTCCGTGATCACTTGTACAACACTGAGAATACTCCTCTTCCATGGAAGAAACGCCTTGACATTTGTATTGGTGCAGCTAAAGGATTATATTACCTCCATTCAGGTAACTAATCAATAAAGTAATAAACATATCATGATCTAACTCCTCTTGCCTATCTCACTCCCTTCCTTCAGCTGGGTGAGCGCGATATATGTTTTTTGTTTGGTAAAAAATTATTGGGTCAGAATAGATCAAATAACGGGTCAAATACAATTTGCAGAACACGACTCAACCTCCCAAATTGGATTTGTTTGTTCGACATGTTTTGATTCAATAGTTTGATGGATCATTTTTGGTTTTATGTCAAGCCAACAACCAATTTACAATCCAATTTGTTTAATTTTGAGTAAATTACTTGATGAAAGTTGATTTTGTTGCTATAGGTATCAAACATACGATCATTCACCGTGATGTCAAGTCAACTAACATCCTATTGGATGATAAATGGGTTGCCAAGGTGTCTGATTTTGGGTTGTCCAAAGTAGGTGGGACAGATACTACCCATGTTAGCACTGCAGTGAAAGGAAGTTTTGGGTACGTAGATCCTGAATACTACAAGCGCCAACGATTGACAGTAAAATCAGATGTTTATTCTTTTGGGGTGGTTCTGTTTGAAGCGCTATGTGGTAGGCCAGCAATAAATCCAAACTTGCCAAGTGGGCAAGTGAATTTGGCAGAATGGGCTTGTAGGAGTTGTGAAAAAAGAAATAGCCCCAGAATGCTTAAGGAAGTTTGCAGAGTTGGCATATCATTGTTTGAGGGCACAAGGGGTCGAAAGGCCATCAATGGGTGATGTTGTAAGAAGTTTAGAATTTGCATTACAGCTCCAAGAGGGTGCAGATAATGAGGTGGATGGATACGTAAATCCTTCTTTTCCATTGATTATTAATGGTGATGCTAATGTAAGGACGAATGAAGATGAGATAAGTGAAGTTGAAAGAAAACTGACAATCAATGGTATATCCATGTCGGTCAGTAGGAGTGCCAAATTGAACAACGTTGCCATTTTCTCTGAGATTGTAAATCCATTGGGTCGATGAAATATTGAAATGTATGAGGCTTTTCAGGTTTAAGGTCCAATTTTGTGTATCATTTTTTTACAGGTCAAACTTGTAAAAGACAACTTAGAGGAATCCATTATATTAGAGGCTAAACTTTTTTATTTGGATAAAAATTAATGATGAAGTTTCCCTTAATTATGTTTACAAATTTGATTTGAAAAAGAGGAAATACTCAATCGAAATTACTCTAATAGTCATTGCATCTAAAATAAAAACATATATAAAGACATACATAATTTGAACTCTATTGAGTACACATTTTGGATAAGAAAATTTAAACTTCCAAGGATCTGAAGTTAAAAAAAAAAAAAAAACGTAAAGAGAGATTCTATTCACGTGAAATTATATAAAAAGCAAAATATAGAATCAATTATTTCTTTTCCTACCTAAAATAATTCAGGATTCTTATTTGACATGTCATTGTCACTTGTACACAATAATACAAAGAGGAATCTGGAGGGATCCACAACTTCGTCACAAAATTATCAAGAAGAAATTAAAAGGTTAATGTCATATATAAGAGAACATGCTATTTTTTTTTTCTTTTTTCGCTAATCATCTTTCGTACTTAACATAAAGTCGATCAAAATAAATAATATCCTCACCCAAGAGAAGGGGACTAGAGGTTACTATTCTCCCCTAATCATACTCCCTCCGTCCCATATTATAAGTCACCCCTTTCTAAAAATAGTTGGACCACAATATATGTCATTTTATAAAATTTATGCATAAATTACCATATTTTGCCCATTATACCCTTGATTGATTGATTGATTAATTAATCTTAAAAATGTATTTACTTTGACTAACCTAGGAAATCTATAAGTAATTAATTTCATTAGGAGAGTACTTCATTCATTAATTAACTACTTTCTTTATTCACTACTTATTCTATAAAATCTGATTTTGAAAAAAAATATCAACAAACAAATTAAAAATAAAAGATGAAAAAAAATTCAAAAATAATCTTGAAAGTTGAAGATTCAACAAATTTTATCAAGGAAGATGACATTTCAAAAAGTTCAAAGGATGTAAAAATAGAAGACTCAACCAAAACATGTGAAGGCCAAATTGAGAAAAATCAAGATCCAAATAAAGGAGTTATGCACCATTTAAATTAAAAAAAAAAAAGATTTGTCGAACTAGAACTACAACTCATTTGTCGTCTAATTTCATTATCAATAACATCTGATTCAGCAGGAAAATTTAGATCAATTTGAAGCAATGAAATTTGAATATTTTGTGATGTTGTCATGTTTGTTTTAAGAATTTATATATAAAAATATAAAAAAAACATTTTACACAAAATATATAGGAAAATTGAGGTGAGAAAAACTTGATTTTTAAATTTTTTTTGGATCAATTGGTGAAAAATTTGGCTCCAAAAAGTAAAATTTAAATAGTCATCTAAATACATTTATATTTTTGAAATCTAACATTTCATCATTTATTACAAAGTTGTCATAAACAAACATTAAATAAGGACATAAAAGTAAAATTATCAAAATTTGGAAAATTACTATTCACACACTCTTTGGATAGACTAGTGAAATTCCATTCATACTACCCTACGGAGAAAATTTTTAAGCAGAAGGAAACAAATTAATCACATCAAGAATAAATACCTTTCCTAATTCACTTGCAACTTAACAGTGCAAAAACACAAAGACTTTGACTAGTCATCCGGATGAAAGAAAAAGTAAATTAATAAAGGGGTGGAATTATTAATTAACTGTACAAACAAATTGTATTTCTTTTCCCAGAAATTCAGGATCCACAACTTTTTACAGAATTATTATTACCAAAACAAAAGGTTAACGTCCTATGAGAACATACATTTCATATGAGGCAAAAGTAGATATTACTCTAATCGTCTTTTTTAAAATTAGATGATCTAAAATATTTGTCATTTTAGAAATTCAAGACATAATTGAGTATTTTCTTTTCATTTTGTCTTTAGTAATAATTATTTTTGGAAATACTAAATATTCAAATTAACTTTTTTATAAGGATGTGATAGTTAAAGCACATACTTTCTCAGTCCCATATTAGTTGATTACATTTCATTTTACATGGTGCTTAAAAAATTATAAATAAGATGATCAGTTTTACTAATTTATCTTTCATTCATATTAATGCACATCAAGATGATTTATGAAAAATATGTTTAATACTCTCTGTCCATTTGTACTCGTCCAACTTTGCTTTTTTACTTGTCATTTTTGACAAATTAAGAAAATATAATATTTTTTTACCTATTATATCCTCAAATTATTTAGAGAGTTAATGTTTTTGAAAAAGTCTAGAACTTCTTTAATGAGTAAATTGATTGTGGAATTCTATCAGTTAATAGGAATAAAATGATAAATTCACTATGTCAATTATTATTTTCTTAATAGGTATACTAAGTCAAAAATAAACAAATAAATAGGGACAAAGAGAGTAACATAGATCATATGAATAGTAACATTGAAATAGATACAACGTAATTAATGAACTTTTGGAATTTCTAAGCTAGCGTTTGGCCCCAAGTTCTCAAATATTCTTGGTAAATTATATCTGAGTGAAGTTTCACCATGTGTTTGGCCTCAATTTTTCTCAAAAATATTTACTATTTCAAAAAATATGATTTATACCCATAAGTTTTAAAAATTACTCCTATTTAAAATGCCCATAAATTTGTAATATCATTTTATAATGAATATGTTCCATTAAAAAATAACCTTATAACTAATATAATTGTTAACAATCAACAATAACAAAATAACAATATAGGCAAAACAATACATTAGTCGCCAATTCAAACTTGTTATTGATTCAATTATAATTATAACCCATTAAACACAAATTGTTCCTTTTCTCAAATTTTCACTCAAATTAGAACTCAAACTTTTCTGGTGTTACAAATATTAGTTGGAATTAATAAATAATGGATATTTTTTTATATAAAATATAAACGTTTGAGGTAATTTTTGAATTTTTAAAATTCCCAAATATTAGAACTTGGCCCAAATACTAATTTTTTCTAGTATTTGAGAACTTGAGATACTTGACAAATATATTTGCCAAGTTATATGACCAAATATCACCTTCCATGTTTTTCCCAAGTATACTTGGGGCCAAACGGGTCTTAAATTTGTTTAGGCTTCCAAAGAGTATTAATTATAAGGGTGAAATAAAATTTGAAATAAATATTTTTTTTAAAATGACCAATTATGGGACTAAGAGAGTAATGCACTTGTAAACAAAATAATGTGACAAATATTGTGGTTGGGAAGGAGAGTATTTTTTTTTTTCCCACCTCATTTTTCCGTTGATGTTGAAAAGTCTTTGGTCAATTTAACAAAGAATCATCCAAATTCCAAAGAAAATAACCCAAAACCTTTCCTTTCAAGCATGTCGACTATTGCTCCAGTGGGACATAACAAAGATTATTATGAAAATGAAAGGCATCCATGGCCTACAAGAAAAAGATGTACACCCCCAATTAACAACTTTTCCTTTACCATTTCTATTTCTCTGTTTATTTTCTTGGGTACATATATGGTCCCCTTCATTAGTGCAGTAATCCTAATAGTAATTTCACTTATATTCTTCGATGAAGGCAACTCTTGCTTAAAAATAACTTAAATAAGTTAAAAATGACTTAAAGTAAGTTAACAAATATTTGACAAAGTTAAAAACAACTTATAATAAGTATAAAATGACTTTAAAAGATTATAAACCAAAAGTAGTCTCTCTACTTTTATTTTTTTGACTTAAAAGGAATAATACTTTTTTAAATCCAAACAAACTCTAATTATTTTGAGATAACCTATTCCTAACCAAAGGAAGAGAACACGCATTCATCTTATGTCATTGGTTAATAAACATGCAAAAGTAGATACTTGTTTAATTTTTTCCTTGTCATTTTTCGTTAGTGTTGAAAAGTCATATCAAGATTTAACAAAGAATCATTCAAATTCCAAAGAGAACAACCCAAAAAACTTTTATTTCACGTATGTCTACTCATATGGCCTACTGTTCCAGTGAAAAATAATTATTGAGTGGAACACAACAAAGACTATGGAAATAGACACCAATTAACTAGTTTTTTTCGTTATTCCTTTTTCGTTTTTGTATTTTCCTAGTTACATATATGGTCCCCATTTTCAGTGCAATAATTTCTAATTTTTAGATTGGCAGTGGAGTGGTGCGGGACGGATTGAGTTTAACCAGTAAAAAATTTAATTCACGTCGTTCCACTCCACATAATAATTTTTTTAAATTTCAATCTGTCTCATCCCGCTCCGCATAGACCCGCCCCACATGAAGCTGTCACACATAATTTTTTTAATATTTTTTTCTAGTTAAGTTTGACACTAAAAATAAAATTCAGAAAAATAAATTCATTTGTCATTAAATTGTATTAATTTAAGAGGATAGTGACTTAAAATTTATTTTTTTAGAGGTCAATTGAGAAACATGTAAGAAATTGAGTCATTTTCATTTAATATCTTGAAAATTTTAGAAGCTTTAAAGTTATTATTTTAATAAATATTGTTCTATCACTCTTATAACATATAAAAAGTTAAAATTAAATCTAAACCCACATAATATCTCATATATCCGTAACCCGCCCGCCCGCATTAATTTTTTTTAAAAAATCCACTTCAACCCGCCCCATATCCCATCAACCACACAACCGTAAACCCGCCCCATCCCATTGTCATCTCTACTTATCTTTGCACCTTTAATTTCTCTTGTCTTTCTTTGACTGGGTCAACTCTTGGATATCACTGATTTTTCAGTCCATCAAAATCAGTTAACCATATAATTAAGTAACTAATAGAGTATCAACCAACGGTAGATTTTCTTATGTGATCAGATAATCTTTATTTTAATTAAGTATATAGACTTACGGACTTTTAAAATGTTTTATAAGAAATTTAGGGCCGTTTGGCCATATATAAATATTCTCTTGAAAAATTTGGAGAAAATTTAGAAATTAGTGTTTGACTATATAATTTGTGATTACTTGGCTAATAGTATATTTTAGACAACATCTCAAGTTCCCAAGTTCTAGGAAAAAAAATATGGGCCAAATTCTAGTATTTGAGAATTTTTACAAATTTAAAACTCACCCCAAAACTTTTATATTTTATAAAAAGACCATCATTTTTAATTTTGGATAAATTTCATTCCTATTTGTTGTACAAAATTTATATTATATACATATTTTAAATAATTTTTATTCGAACTTGCGCTTCCGAAAAGTCACTTCCAATTATACAAGTAATAATAGTAGTTTTTTTTAAAAATATAAATCAATGATACTTTCCTTTTGTTTTCTTCCTTTTTTTATAAATTCATATTAATTATATTTGTTATCATAACTTTCACATAACATTTTTAATTATAAAATGATAATACATTCCATTTCCACCGTCTCTACTCTCTTGTTTATTTTTATCACTTTCCGAGTTTTTTTATTTTTCTGTTTTAGAGTTTAACAACAATCATTCATGCTGAATGATAACAAGTTTTATGATTTCTCTACAATGCAAATAACTAATAAGATTAAGAATATTGCATGCATGTGTGAAGAGGGAAAAATTTAATACGAGAAAGGGACTAGAGATTACTATTCTCCACTAATTATATAGTATTAACTAAGACACTCATATCATTGCTTAATAAACATGCAAAAGTAGATACTTTAATTTTTATTTCCTTGTCATTTTCCCTTAGTGCTGACAAGTCAAGTCAAAATTTAACAAAGAATCATCCAAATTTCCAAGAAAATAACCCAAAACCTTTTATTTCATGTATGTCTATACTCATATGGCCTACTCTCTAGTGGAATATATATACAGTATAATTATTGAGATGGAACATAATAAAGACTATATATATGAAAATGAAAGGCAATATCTTTATTAGTAAGAAAAATCGTTTGCATGGGCTACAAGAAAAAAATAGACCCCTATTACCCCGATTACCAAGTCTTCTTCACCTTTCATATTTCATTGTTTCCTTTTTCTTTTTATATTTTCATATAGTCCCTATTTTAACTGCAATAATTCCTAATCTTTGCACCTTTAATTTCTTTGTCATTCTTTGTCTAGGCCACCAACTTTTTACTTGGAGCATGTTTGCCATGGGTTTAAAAACTATTTATTTCTACACGTAATTTTTAAAGAGCAACTTTCACATATAGCAAATATAAAAATCATATTTGTATGTTATAACTATAGTTTGTATAATTGCGCCCACTATGGAGAATCAAATTGTATAACTCGCTGGCATGAGCTTCAGATTTATATAATTTCGTTGGCAGACCATTTGTATAAATCGTTGGCAGCCTATTGTTTGTATAAATCGCTGACAACCTTTCAATTCATTTTTATGTATTTGTATATCTGCATAAAATTTGAATGTGTATACAATTGAATCGAAATAAAACATTTGTATATCGAATCTCTCTCTCTCTCTCTCTCTCGCTTTATACAACACAAATTATACATTGTAATTTGTATAATCTGTGTTTATATAAAGCCAGAAAGAGAGAAAGACAAAAGAGAATTAGGCAGGGAAAGATCTATATTTGTATAATTATAAGTGTATAGGACGAAAATATATGTATTCGTATTTGTATATACAATTTTCTCTCGTTTTATACAAACACAAACGTATTTTATACATTTGTGTTTGTATAAAGTGAGAGAAGAGAGGGAGAGACTGGCGAGAGTGACGAGCGAAAAACCTAGGTAGAGAGGCGAATGACAACTGTTTGCTTCAAGTTACAATTAAATCAAACTGTAGTATAGCATTTAATTTGAATTAATAGTTTGCTATTATATACAATTTTCCCTTTTTTAAAATGACTTTTTAGAAAAGTACTTTAAAAATAATAATTTGTGTTTGGTTAATTCATTTGAATTTTTTTTTTTATAAGCAAACTATATTTGATTAATTTTTTCTAAAAAATATGCTTTCGAGAGTCAAATTATGAAAAACAACAAGTGTTAATGTACTTTTAATATTAAGATTATTTTATAGAGAGGAACTATTTTAAAACACTATTATAATTTTTTTTAATTAAATTAAAATATACATATTCAAATTTTCAATTAATATTATACTTTTTTTGGGAGGACTGAATCTTTAATTGTTATTTTCTTTTCTAATCTTGCAAAAATATTATTTTTACTTTTTTTTCTAATTCTACAAATAATATATAAAATATAAAATAATAATATTTAAACATAAAATAAAAATAAAAATTTATTATAAACTTAATAAACCTATGAGATGTGCTAATTAATTAATAAGAGATACATTAGCAAATATGTATATATATAGGGAAGAGATATTTTAGTCTTGAAAAGAATAACTTTTCTGCTTGCAGAAATTTTAAGCTTCTTTCCGTTCACAAGAGAAACTGCTTCTGCTTTCATTTAAAAACAATTTATAGATTTGCCAAACACTTAATTTTCAATAAAAATATTTATTTTCTCAAAATAAGTGTTTTTTGGCATCTAACAACAATGTCAAATATGCTCTTAAAATGCTGAAGGAAAAAAAAAAAAAACTTAAAAGATGATCAGTATTGCTTTGTATCCTTGTTAAGTTTAGTTATACACGCATATAATAATAAATAGATTTTTATATCAGTTACTATAATTTTGGTTATTGTTTTTGTACAAAACTTGAACAAATGGTCTAGGTGAACGTCAGTTTTTAATACAGAAAAATCGAGAGAAGGCTCAAAATAGTCCCTCATCTTTGGGTTAAGACTCAAAGTCATTCTTGAGTTTTCACATGAAGCATTAATAGTTCCTCATGTTTGCAATGTTGGTGCACTTTTGGTCCTTCCCTAAACTTTTATCTATTTTTTAAACATTAATTTTGTTCATAATTTTATGTAAGGAATGTCCCATCGTGTTTTTATATATTTAGTAGAAATAATAATTCTATGTGAGAGAAGATGAGAAGAATAACACATTGTTCTGTTCAGTATAAATATTACTGCAACTAAACTAAGAACATTTTAACATATGACATTGCAAGAAAAGGAAAAATTGTACTATTGTACGTGAAATTGTCGTGGTAAACCTCTCGACTTTACCTGCAATACGATTTCTACTAAACAAAATAAAGTGTTTTTCTTCTCACAGTCTCTCACATGGAGTTATTATTTCTACTAAATATATAAAATGACGATTAAACATTCAATACATAAATTATGAATAAAATCATTGTTAAAAAATAGGAAAAATTTTGAAGAAGGACAAAAAGTGCACCAATATTACAAACATGAGCGACTGTTAATGCTCCATGTGAAAACTCAAAAATGACTTTGAGTCTTAATCCAAAAATGAGGGACTATTTTGAGCCTTTTCTCCAGAAAAATCGAAATAACAGAATGACTTGATCATTGAAGAAGTAGATATCTGTACACATACACCAAATACCAGAGAAATTTCAGAACAACGCCATGTTATTCATTGCTCTGATTTCCTCTCTCCTATTACATCTAATGACAGTCACTATGACTCTCACGCCACAGTACGATTACAATGCCACAGACAATCTTTTGCTGAATTGTGGCAGAGTATTGGAAGGCACAAAATTAGCAGCCCCCATTGAAGATATCGATGGCCGTCAATGGTATACAGATGCCCACTACCCAAATTTCCTACCTGTCAACTTTTCAAGAATATCCACAACAGCCACAGCTTTTGAACAAGACTCTTCGATCAATAGAGTTCCTTATATGACTGGCACCCGTATTATGCTATCTCAATTCACCTACACTTTCCGTGTTTCCCCTGGAGCCAAATTCCTCCGTCTCTATTTTTACCCCGCCGATTACTCTGGCTTCGATAAATCAGAATCTTTTTTTTCAGTCACTGCTAATCATTTTACCCTCTTGAGTAACTTCAGCGCTTTCTATACAGTCGCTGCAAGTACCAATTCTAGTAAAGCTGTTCGAAAAGAATTTGTCATTAATGTTAATGAATTTCAGATACTCAATATAACCTTTTCTCCCTCGCCTAACTCTTATGCTTTTGTTAATGGGATTGAGATAGTTTCCATGCCCACCAATCTTTACATCGGTGGAGATAATCGCATCAAATTGGTGGGCCAGAATGATCCTTATTCCATCTATAACGACACTGCTCTTGAAACTTTGTACAGGCTGAACGTGGGAGGACATTCAATTGCTAGCACGGAGGATACAGGGATGTATCGTGTATGGGATTCAGATGAGGAATTTGTTGTTGTATATGGCTTTCAAACTTCTGAATTTGATGTCAACATCACTTACACTACTGAAACCCCGCCTTATGCTGCGCCCAGGATAGTTTACGTAACCTCTAGGACCATGGCCAATAACAGCCAGAGCCTGGATTGGATATTCCCTCTAGATTCTGGTTTCTATTATCTTTTCAGGCTCCATTTTTGTCAGAATCAGCCGGAAGTTAATGAAACAAACCACAGGGTTTTCGACATATACATCGGAAATCAAACGGCAGAAAAACAAGTTGATGTAGTTGGACTGAGTGGCGGCTGGGGAATCCCAACGTACAGAGACTACGTGGTGTATGTGAGAGACCCAGATGTCCGACTAAGCAAGGAAAAAGTGTGGCTTGAATTGCGACCTAACATGAAAACTAGAGCTGTGTATGATATTGCTATGTTAAATGGCTTGGAAATTTTCAAATTGAGCGATCCAAATGGAAATCTGGCCGTTCCATATCCTGAATTGGGCTTAGAAGGTTCGATCAAATCAGCACCACTCCCAAACAACAATAAGAAGAAAAGAATATCATGGCATATCATTGTTGCTATCATCGCAGGTGTGACTAGCGGTATTGTTGTTTTCTCAATCCTGGGTTTCTTAATTTCCCGACGACGACAAAATGGGGGAAAAGATTCTGGTACAAGTGTTCTCAAGTCATCATCACTACCATCCGATCTGTGCCGACACTTTTTAATTGCAGAGATAAAAAATGCAACAGACAATTTTGATCAAAAATTTGTGATTGGATATGGAGGATTTGGTAATGTTTATAAAGGGTACCTTGACAATGGTACAACCACAGTTGCAGTCAAGAGATCGAATCCTTCATCAAAGCAAGGGATTCGCGAGTTCCAAACAGAGATTGAGATGTTATCATCAAAACTAAGGCATCGACATCTAGTGTCCTTAATTGGTTATTGTGATGATAAGAATGAGATGATCTTGGTTTATGATTACATGGCTAATGGAACCCTCCGTGATCACTTGTACAACACTGACAATGCTCCTCTTCCATGGAAGAAACGCCTTGACATTTGCATTGGTGCAGCTAAAGGATTATATTACCTCCATTCAGGTAACTAATCAATAAAGTAATAAACATATCATGATCTAACTGGCACGATATATATTTTTTATTTGGTAAAAAATTATTGGGTCAGAATAGATCAAATAACGGGTCAAATACAATTTGCAGAACACAACTCAACCTCCGAAATTGGATTTTGTTTGTTCGAGTTGCATTTTGACATGTTTTGATTCAATAGTTTGATGGGTCATTTCGGGTTTTATGTCAAGCCAACAACCAATTTACAATCCAATTTGCTTAATTTTGAGTAAATTACTTAAGTTGATTTTGTTGCTATAGGTACCAAACATATGATCATTCACCGTGATGTCAAGTCAACTAACATCCTATTGGACGATAAATGGATTGCCAAGGTGTCTGATTTTGGGTTGTCCAAAGTAGGTTCAGTAGGTGGGACAGATACTACCCATGTTAGCACTGCAGTGAAAGGAAGTTTTGGGTACGTAGATCCTGAATACTACAAGCGCCAACGATTGACAGTAAAATCAGATGTTTATTCTTTTGGGGTGGTTCTGTTTGAAGTGTTATGTGGTAGGCCAGCATTAAATCCAAACTTGCCCAGTGGGCAAGTGAATTTGGCTGAATGGGCTTGTAGGAGTTGTGAAAAAAGAAATGTTGAACAAATAATTGATCCAAACTTGAAAGGACAAATAGCCCCAGAATGCTTAAGCAAGTTTGCAGAATTGGCATATCATTGTTTGAGGGAACAAGGGGTCGAAAGGCCATCAATGGGTGATGTTGTAAGAAGTTTAGAATTTGCATTACAGCTCCAAGAGGGTGCAGATAATGAGGTGGATGGATACGTATACCCTTCTTTTCCATTGATTATTAATGGTGATGCTAATGTAAGGACGAATGAAGATGAGATAAGTGAAGTTGAAAGAAAATTGACAAGCAATGGCATATCCATGTCGGTCAGTAGGAGTGCCAAAGTGAACAACGTTGCCATTTTCTCTGAGATTGTAAATCCATTGGGTTGATGAAATATTGAAATGTATGAGGCTTTTCAGGTTTAAGGTCCAATTCTTTGTATCATTTTTTTACAGGTTAAACTTGTAAAAGACAACTTACAGGAATCCATTGTATTAAGGCTAAATTTTTTTATTTGGATAAAATTAATGATGAAGTTTCCCTTAATTCTGTTTACAAATTTGATTTGAAAAAGTGGAAATACTCAATCGAAATTAATAGTCATTGCAAACATATATAAAGAAATACACAATTTGAACTCTATTGAGTATACATTTTGGCTAAGAAAATTTAAACTTCCAAGGATCTGAAGTAAAAAAAAAAACGTAAAGAGAGATTCTATTCACGTGAAATTATATAAAAAGCAAAATATAGAATCAATTATTTCTTTTCCTACCTAAAATAATTCAGAATTCTTATTTGACATGTCGTTGTCACTTGTACACAATAATACAAAGAGGAATTTGGAGGGATCCACAACTTCGTCACAAAATTATCAAGAAGAAATTAAAAGGTTAATGTCATATATAACAGAACATACTATCTTTTTTTCTTTTTTCGCTAATCATCTTTCGTACTTAACATAAAGTCGATCAAAATAAACAATATCCTCACTCAAGAGAAGGGGACTAGAGGTTACTATTCTCCCCTAATCATATTAACTAAGAGGACATTGCATACATCTCATATCATTGGTTAATAAATGCAAAATAGATACTCCCTCTGTTCTCAATTACTTGTCCACTTTTGAATTGACATACTTATTAAGAAAATAATAATTGATTGAGTTTACCATTTTACCCCTATTAATTATGAAGTGGATGAATTAAAAATTCAAGATTTTCAAGAAGTTTTATCTTTTTTCAAAGTAATTAATTGAGTAAAAGTAAAAAAATTGTCTTTTCTTGATTTACCGGACCTGGATTGGGAATTCCCTCTAAACTCTGGCTTCTTCTATCTTTTCAGGCTCCAACCCACCTCTATTTTGTTGAAAAGTGATTCAAAACAAAGTAGGAACACTTAGGACATGGATAGTTTGGTTGAATTGGTCTTCTGCATTCTGTTAGGTAGTTTCCTAGTGTTGTTGAAATAGTGTTGTTGTGCCGTAATTTTCCTAACCTCTAGAAAAAATTACTTTTTGAAATGTTCTAAGTATAAAACAATTTGAGAAATACTTAGAAAGAGTCGCCACTTAATTTTTTAAAGAAATTAAGAAAACTTATAATTTCCAAAGATTTAAACAGAAAAAATCACTTGAAAATACCAAAAGAGGGTTCGGGGTTCAATTTACACTTCGAGAAGGGTTTAAGCATTCAAAGTGTCCGCTAACATGCGGTTGACCTGCGACTTGACTAAAATGTATTTGACTATTTTTTGAAAAAAAAATAACATAAAAATATATAATAACTTACACAATTCGATTAAGTTTGAAAAAATAACTAAGGAATGAACCATTTTATTCTATCTTTTTAGCGGAAGAGACCTAAAAATGAAAATATTTAAATTAAGGTGCAAGTGATTAGAAAATTAATAAAACTAGACTAATTAGAATTTATTCAGTTCATTTTAAAATAAATTAAACAAATTTAATGAATTAAAGTATGAAAAATCATTTTTTGAATTAATTGACTAACCTTTTGAGAAAATAACTAAGTAAGTATTTATTTATAATAATTTACACTATTGGATTAATTTTGAGAAAATAGTTAAACAAAGAGCAATTTTTGTTTTTTAAGAAATGGGACCTTAATTGAAACAATTGAATTAGAGACAGGTACTTAGAATGTTAACGAAACTAAATGAGTTGGTTTTTATTTGAGTCATTCTTGGTTTATGAAAAAAACTATTTTTAAACTAACAAATTTTTTTAATTTATTTTATTTTTTTGACTAAAGATTATAAATGAAAATACAAGAGTTGATAAAATAAGTTTTGTTACAAACAAAACAACTCAGATGAATAGTTCATCTTTTGGGGAATTCAACTAAGTTAATTAAAAAATTCTAAAGTTAGAGTTAAACAACAAATAATAAGTAATCGCGATTAAATAACTAAAGCGTAAGGGAGAAATTGAATTTGGGCCTTTCTTGGGCCAAATTCGCTACTTTTTGGGGTTTAAACAAAACCCGTTTTTGGTATACAGCTCCTGTATATCAGTGTATATGAGCATGTATACCAGCTCTTTTCGTGAATCTCTTGCTTCCGAACATTTGTATTTCGTATCAACCATGTATTCCTGCGTTTTTGACCTGTATTTTAGTGTATACCGATATATATCAATGTATACATGCTGTATCTCAGCCTTTTTTCAGCTTTCTGAGACGTTTTCAATTTCCAGCCCCTGTATTTGCCACCTTCAACCTGTTCGTCAGCTTCTCTATTCCCAGGGGAGTGACTCGGGGAACAAATGGATTTGGGCCTTTATAGCTCTCTCGGAATGCAAAGGGGAGAACGATGGAGTCCAAGATGAACTCGAGTTGGTGTTGCACATATCAAAATAAAGGGAGAGGGAATTAGTAAAGAGTTTTGAATAATTCAAAACGCAATTATGTCTTCAATTGGAAATGATCATGATATAACTAAATCAAGATATCTATAAATTACTACAAGTGTAAAAAGGGTATAAGCATATGAAGTATCACTAATGCTCACCACGTGATATACTACATACTACTTCCAATAATTTCATCTTGACATATTAGCAAACAATCTCATGCTATAAAATAAAAAACTAATGCTACCAATAAAATAATGAGCAAGCTAGCAAATGATGCTTAATAGTTAAAAACAAAAATCTTTAAATTCAATCACATTATATAGAACACCACAATTATACAAGGACAATTTTGAAAACAAAACACCTTGCTCTAACTAACCATGCTGTTGGAAACAAAATTGTTAACAGAGGACTAGCACACTACTTCAAAAATAAAGAATAAAAAAAGCGTATGACCAATCATGGTCAGCAGAGCAACACGACACTAGGCTGATTAAAGACATAGAACGACCAAACTCTCGCCTAATAACATGCTAGAAAACGAAAAGGGGTAAACAACATGAAGAGGAAAGGAACTAAGGCTGCCCATTACTTGACTCACATGATTCATGCTAACTGGAATAATAAATAAAGTAAAGACACATTTTCACAAATCACAACCCTGTGAGATGAGATTGACAATGAAACAATACGCAAAATGGGAAAGAAACCAACTTAAAGCCACCCGGAGTCATTAAGACTCCTAGCGAAACAAACTAAAAAAAAAGAAACACTCAAATAAACAGAACGAAGCTATTTCAAAATAAATAACAAATCAAAACCATTTTCCAAATTTCCAGCACTCAAAACGACTTACAATGAAAACAGCGAACAAGCCAACACAATAAGAAATAAAAGGGCATGGGCCGGAATAAGATTTACCTTTCGAAATGCAGCGAAACTAGGACAACAACGAGCCTGAGAGGGACAATTCTTTTACCACGAACTTCGAATACGAATGGCAAACTAAGAAAATCCGAGAGTCGATCTTCTCGGAACTTAGAATTAGAAAACTAGACACAAATTTTTTGCACTGTAAAAATGACTATTGCTCAGTAACTCCAAAACCTCTCCTTATGCTCGCTGCTCCCCTAAATTGAATGCAATGATGAATTTTTATAGGAGAAAATTAATTCGATTAGAGGGGAAACAGATTAAAAATTTGAATTTCAAATCCCCTTTTTCCAAGAAACAGTAGAAAAGATATGGGCTTTCTGACAAAAGAGGACGAGGGGACGGGAAGAGTATGGGCACTGCGGATGTTGACGTTGTCGGGTTCTCCGCGATTGGTGGAATTTTCCGAATTTGCTGGGATTTTCGCGTGAAGAAGACGATATTGGGGCAGTGGGGTCGCGTCGCTGTTGGACGAACCTTCTGGGTTTCCTTTTGGTCGTTGTTCTCACGTGGAGAAGAAGAAGAGGCAAAGTGGGGTCGTTTGGTATTGTTGTTGTGAGAATTAGGGGCTGGATCTTTTGGATTGAAATTTGTGGGATGGGCTTTTGTTTCTGGGTTGGTCTTTGTGGGCTGGGAAACAAAGAGAATTGGGTCGGTTTGTTATTTTAATTAGGAATAATGGGCTGCTGGTTGCGGGCCCAAGAATGGTCTTTTAAATAGTCCAATAAGGAGTGAAAGCATTGGTCATATTTGAAATAACCAAATGGCTTGCAATCTTGGCCAATTAAATTAAGAATTTGGTCAAAAATTGAATTTAATCAAAGAACTTTGGCCAAATCTTAAACAAGATGAATTAATATGAATTAATTAAAGAGCTTCTTATTCTTAACAAAATAAAATAATTAACTTAATTATAAACTAACCAATTTAAATAACTCAAATTGTAAATATAAATAATACTAAACTAAATTAATAAAATATTTATCTTAACAATGTAGAAATCTTTTGATATGATTTTCAAATAATCATAAAATATACTAATTATAGACATAATTATGTAAAACATAAATGTTATCTAAAAATAATAAAAAGTGACAAAACTATTTAAAATAACTTGCAAACTATATTATTATTTTTTTGAAATTTTATAAAACTAATTATTTTAAGTCGTTTGAAATTAAAGAAGCTCGAAATGATTAATTTATATTGTGGAGGTCCAAAATTGGGTGTCAACAAGTGTTTTAGTGGGTTATAGGACCTATATTTTAGGATTAGTTATTTATCACTTAGCCTATATATCATGTGGGCGTATTTTGTTATTTTGTGACTTCCAATTAATCAGAAATTAAAAGTAATCGTAGTTTTCCTTCTCTTTTTTATGGGTTAATACCTCAGATGGTCACTTAACTATCTAGTCTTTCCTCAGAAAGTCACTCACATGGTGACTTTTTAGTGAAAATTAAAAGTTGAGTGACTTTCTGAGGCAAAAGTGGATAGTTGAGTGACCATCTGAGGTATTAACCCCTTTTTATTATTTCCAAATTTCTCTGTACTTTTTCTCCAACATATTTTACTTTCTAT